GCATTTGCTGGAGGCGTTCAAGACTCTCCCAAAATCTGATGGTTTCTAGAATACTTTGGTGACAAGCTAATTATTTTTAGTTTGTACGAATATATCTAAAAAAAGGCAAAGTACAATTTTGTCCAAGTTCATAAGGAAACTTCAAGTCAGAATTCATTTCAAATGTCATTTGATTCTTCAGTTGTTCTTTGTCTTGAACAACAATGAAGATATTGACATACCTGCAGTACAATTTGGGCTTGATCTGTTCATCTCAATCATCTGAAAGTACTAAATTTTATATTTTGCACATATAGTACTCGGTAAAACTAGTACCCATGGCTAAGCCATTGGTTTGTTGGTAAATTTTGTTGTCCAGAGAGGTGATTCAAAAGAGCAGAGACAAAGGAGATTGAGAAGAATTTTTTGGAATTGGTGGAGCTGGCAAAGTTGGGCAAGAATATACATGCTTTGCAATGATATCTAATGTTTCTTCTGTTGGGATGTTGGCGACATCAAGTGATGCAAAAAAGCCAGATGGGCATGCAGTAGGGAGGATCTCCAAAAAATTGCATCTAGATTTCCCCAAGAGTTGCTTTGGATTATACAGTTTTATTATGGTATCCAGTCTTTTGGCTGTTTTGTAGATTAGAGACAAGACATGAGAAATAATGGGTGATGGGTCTGAGTGGATTACCTTCCTTGTGATTTTAATGTTACTGTAGATGTAACCAGGAGTGTAACTCGGGACTGACAATCGGCGTGAGCTTTCTAGACTCTACAGTGGACTTGACCATATTGATTGGTACAAAATTGGTTGGCAATATGAAAATCAGTAACCCAAGTTTTGATTCACTAGTAAAAAAAATATAGTTTGATATAGTATTAAAAAACTAATAAGAAAATTGTTAATAAAAAAAATTCTGTGGTCTTCAAGTTCAATGAAACCTACTCAAAGGAACAAATTCTGCAAACCTTTAAGTACTAATTATTAATAAAAGTGCAAGATCAAGCTGCAAGAGGCGTAGAATTAAATATATATGCCTTTCAAGCACCAACTAGCTTTCCTGCCATTTTTCAAACAATGTGCGAAGGAAGATTCCTGCTAGATGAATTGAATTCCTCCTATCTGATTATTAATACAAGTGCACAATAAACCAACAAGATTCCAAATGTATGGAAAATTTGATATTTTGGGTTTGCAGCATTTCTGAAATGAATATGAAAATTTCAATCCTGTTTTGAGTCAGTTTTCAAATTTTTTGTTGTATAGCCCAAGCCCCTAAATAATTAATGAAACAATACATTGCTAATAAATTTTCCAAGACCAAGCACTCAGCACTGACTGCAACAGGCATGAGATATTTCTTGGTTTGAGCCACCACTAGAGGCAAGCGTGGAAAACATCTACTTTAGGGCCGCAAGGCCTGCAACTAGAGCTTTCCCACCATTTCCAGAACCGCAAGATTTCCACCAGATAAATTATATATACCTCCTATCTAATTATTAACAAAAGTGTACAATCAAGCAGCAAGATTCCAATTGTATTAAAAATTTGCCCTGTTGGACTTGGACGGTTGGAGCCGCAAGATTTCAGAATCAAGAAGGAAAATTTCAATCCTGATAGTCTAGAGCTGCAAGATTCCTACTAGGTAGTAGTAGTACTAGTAGGTAGATCAATTATGTCTAATCTAATAATAAATAAAGCCTTAGCTTCATGATCAGGCTGCACAATTCCATTTCCATATGTATAAAAAATTGGTCACTTTAGACTTAAGAGCTACAAGATTAGACTTAAGAGCTACAAGATAATCCAAGCCAACTGGCCAAGCAACATTAGGTACCTAGCACTAGCACCAACAGGCTAGCCAAAAAACAAATACTATTATTTAGTTTATCAAATGATTTAAAACCATAAAAATGTATAATCCAATTAAAGAACCAAATAGTATAAAATAATATAATAGGCAAAGAAAATAAGCATTTAAAAAGAAATCATTTTCAATTCATAGGTACTCTCACATCACACTAAATAATGTCTGAATTTTACATTACTACATTAGTAATACAGTCACAAATAATAAAGGTTAGGTTAGGATAGGTTAGGTCAAAGCAGAGAGTTTTTTAGACTCTCCCTCAAGTTCATTTTTGAGTCCTATAAGTAGACCAGTAAAGTATCCTGGATACCAGCATTATCATACTTAAGAAATTGGTTTGATTCTTGAGTAAATGAAGAAATTAAAAATGAACTGATTCTAAAAAAGCTCTGGTTTGCCAAGTCTATGGTCATTGGTCACAATAATAATGAGGTGTCCATTGTCAAATCACCCATTAGGTTCATCAATAAAAAAAAAAAACCTTTGTTCAGCAGTTCAGGAAGCTGAACTGAAATGCTGAATTTGAAATTTCTATACCAAGTAAAGCCAAGTATATATAGCTTGCATAATGCATAGCCTATTAGGCTATTGCATTGCCAATATACCTATATCAGGATTATTCAGGCAGACTCAAAGTTTGAGGTCAATATATTTCAAAATGAAATAATCAAGATAATTATATTATACTGAAGCCTGGATTATGGATATAGTATAAAACATACTAGGATTACTATATAATTACAATTAGGCATAATATAACCAAGTTTGCAGCTAGAATAGAATAAAATGTACAACCCTAGTCGTCCTCCGGCACGACCCAAGCCAGCGACTTCTCATGCCGCAGTCTACCGCCTCCGCCTCCGCATGCCGCAACCATACTTGATAAACAAGAAAAACAACGCGTGGACAAGCTTGCAGCTAAACATGGGATTTTTTTTCTTTTCAGATTTGCGGGAGCCCCTGAAAAACATGGGATCGTTTTAATAACAGAAGCAGCTATTTGCAGTTGTAGCATAGCTGGAAGGCGGTTGTAAAAGGTGATTGTCTATATACAATTTTTACTTTATTGTCTACAACTCTACATAAACATGATGATAACTACTACTTAATACTTTCGACATTTGGAAATCGATTGTTGGGGCAGGAATTCTATTTAATTAACGGTGGATAGATCTCAATGCTACATTTCTCAACGCATCAACATTATGTTATTCTTATCTTAATTTTTGCTCTTCTCAGTTGGTACTTAATTAAATCATGGACATTTAAATTGCCAGGTTGCTATTTCATTTTATCGTCTGTGGCAGTCAGCTAAGCAAAAAAAAGTCTCGTCCTCGCCAGACGACTTTAATTTTGTGTTACAATTGTGGCACGGCGTTTAGTTAAAAGAGCAAAAGGCGCTTCAAGCCATAGGATCAAATGATACGTTTTTAAATTAAATAGGCAAGTCAGAATTGAATTAAGAAGTAAAGCCTGTACACCATTTTAACCTGTTGTGTGAACAGTCTTTAAATCGGCGTGTTTATTGATTTTAACGTAATTCAATAACTACCAGGAATTCACAAGCAAAATGCAGTTGATTCAAGAATTGAATTATTCGTGGAATGTAAATAACATGAACTTTATCGTTGCTTACATGTGTAGAGACTTAAAACTATTATTGCTCCATGGAAGTTTCAAATTCAAAACATATTGTTGTCCAAACGGTGTGTCTTTCAACAAATTCACGAATTTCTATTCGAACATATATTAATTATTGAGATAAGGTGATAGATAACATAGTATCGAATCTGCAAAATACTGAAAATAAATGAGAAATATTTAACGGCAACTTTTGAATAACGCATGACAAAATTTATCGTACTTTGTCTGAGAAATGTATCGTACTGAGTACCTAGAAAGATAAGTACCATATTTATGACAATTAACAAAACTTCACTGTATGAGTGTATGTAGGCAATATTCGAGGCCGATGTTATTCCTTGACACAACTTACTATTGAGCAGCCATTTAACATATAATTTATTACCACAAAAGGTAAGCGTACTTATTATAAAATCATTTGATAAACATATATTTTAATCAATCGAACGTAAGCAAAAAATCGTGGGCTACTGCACGTCTGCGTAAATAGTAACGATTTATTTATTTTGAGAAATTTCAACACGAGGATATGTAATTTTCTGTTTGTGATCATTTTCATGTTATTAGAGTGTCTATTTCATATGACATTTGTCACAATTAGTGTATTGGGTTTTGTTTTACATCAAGAAACGAAACATCATAACTTTCATTCTTTACAAAGAATTAATCTAAAGTTGTCATTTTCATTACAGATCTAGTACCTAAATTACATATACATTCATTCTAGTTACCCCGTTCAGTCACATGTCAGTTATAACTCATTAATAAAGAATAAAATGAAATAATGAATAAAATCGTTCAACCGTGTATCTTTCGGGAGAAAAATACTATTCATTTTTAAAATGAAAAGGTTCAATATTCTTTATTTCAGTTTGCCTTCTTTAAATCCTTGATTATCTACACAATATAATGCGAACTTTCGGTGTCAAGTACTTGTTAATTCTGTAGATTAAATATCATGAATCTATGTGATTGCGCGAGGCAAAAATGTCCTTAAACTTGGACAATGCATGCCGTGTGAAAACCAATTCCATCATGTTCACCAATGTTGCCGTCTCATAACTTTAAGGTGGATTCAAAGTTCGCTCACAACTCGTGAAGAATGCTCATTTTAGACCCTGGAAAAAGTTTATAATAATTGAGATTGATGAAAATCATTAATGAAATTTAACTATTTCATAGCCCGAAATAAAAAATAATTGAGATAGATTAGTATCATCAATGAAATGAAAGCAGCCTGCAATGGCATCCTAAGTTGCCAAATGCGCGAGAAAAAACACTTGTGTGGACTTCCTAATTATAGTTAAATTTAAAATGGAAGTCGTGTAATTTTTAGAGCATCCAATTGTTTAAACTTAATATTTACATCTAATTTTATGCACTAAGTCATGAAATTACGCATAAGAAAGTTGCTTTATATGAGTGTTTAGTCGATTTTAAAAGGCCAACAGCTGATCGAATGAGAAGAAAGAACGCTATCAAAGCCAGTTGACAAAGAACTGCGGTGGAGGTTGTATGTACGTCGCGCACGGTCCGTGTCGTGAGCAGATGTCTTATATTTTGGGCATTACTTGCTAACTTAAAGAGGCTTGTAATTTATATCAATTGAAACAGCAAAATAAATACATTCTTCACATTACGTTGTTACATGTTTATATTAAGCAAGTTTATGCTGAATATCGTGAGTTTCCTTAACAAACCGAGATTATTGATCGAGGGATTCGAGGCGTGTTCCTTCGAAGTGTTGCATTTTTCCGTGCCGGGTCAGAATACTTGCACGTTCGATCTGCTTAATTTTTGAGAAAAAATTTAGGGACCACGTAAATTTAAATTTCTTAAATTTGTCTTCATGAAAGAAGTTTCGACCCCCTCTGTAATTAGATACTCTTTCAGTGCATCCTAATACTGAGTAATGAGCGTTCCCTTTCAATATGAGTGCAAAGAAATCATTGGACATGGAGCGTTCGCATTGGTGTACAAGGGTCATCTTAAACAGGTGCGTTAATGGTGACAAACATCATATTATAAATGTACTCTTTACTCGCCTCTTATTTCATAAATAACTTCTATGCTCATGAGTAAACAAGTAAAATTAGTGAAGTATCATTTATAAATCTATTGTAGTTCTTTTTTATTACCAGCTAGAAATTTTGCATGCAATTTTGACATGTACTATGAAAATGTTTCCTTTTCTTCACAGGAGAAGCAAACAGCAAAATGGCTGATTTCATTGGTTCATTTGTAAACATTGTTTACACAGACATGGCTTCCTCAGTTTCTGCTATACTTTTTTTCTTATATTGTATCAAAATAAATCACACAAGACGCTTTCATTCCATGTAAATTCATCAACATGAATTTCATGATTAATATTTGAATATATATTTCCAAGTCACAAATGTTTACTTGAGAAATCTTTGTTCTCTAGCCACTCCTGTGGCCTGTCCAGTGTCTACTCTTATGCTTATCAAAAATCTAATAAATCTACTTGATATAAACGAGTGTGAAGCAAACAATTAAACAGTAGTAAAGTTGGTAGAAAAATTAAGGCTCCTAGCTCTAGCCTTAGCCTTAGTTAAGTATCTAATTGTATGATTTGCATATATAAACTTCAGTCTGCATATCAAATGTATGCTTTGTCCTAAATGACATTATGCCAGAGCCTCCTGCAAAAGAGGCGCAACTGCCTTTTCCTTGGTAGAATTTCACTTGTGCTTTTGGCTGTTGCCTAATTTTTTTAATTCACATTTATATCCATTATTATTTATAATGGATATATTTATATCCATTATTTATTAAATCTGCTCATCTAACATTCCATTTCAACTTGTGGTATTTGGACTAACCTACTTAATATTCTAGATTGGCACTTCCTTTCTGTTGAATTTCAAATCAGTTTCCTACTTCTTTTTATAAACTTCCTTCATTTGAATATCATTGTCAGTTGTCACCAGTTTTAACTAGACAGAATTATTGCAAAGACTTATACTGTTTGAACTAAATTGAATTCTTGTTAACACAATCACTCTTCAAATGTCTGCTTGACAATAATAAATATTATTTGTTTCAATATCTTTCAAACTACATGAGATGGTGTGCAAATTACAGCTAAAATATGAATTATAGCACTGCATTAGCATTGACTTTCAAGTTTCAACTAGATCCATCACTGTTCTTGCCTCTCTTCACCATCTTCTTCTCCATGTTAGTTTTGAGGTTTACCCTTTAATTTGACAGTGCAATGGCACTTTCTATAAGAAAATATGCCTTTATTATAATGCCATTATGAAGGCCGCTTCATGTTCAGTGCTGCTGCTTCATGTTCACTGCCACTGTGGCATGTTCACTGCCACTGTGTCATGTCCACTGCCACTGTGTCATGTCCACTGCCACTGTGTCATGTCCACTGCCACTGTATCATGTTCACTGCCACTGTGTGATGTTCACTGCCACTGTGTTGTGTTCATTTCACTGTTACAGTGTCATGTTCACTGCCACTGTATCATGTTCACTGCCACTGTGTCATGTTCACTCCCACTGTGTTGTGTTCACTGCCACTGTGTCATGTTCACTGCCACTGTGTCATGTTCATTGCCACTGTGTGATGTTCATTGCTACTGTGGCATGTTCACTGCTCTATGTCATGTTCACTGCGGCTGTGTCATGTTCACTGCCGCTGTGTCATGTTCATTGCCGCTGTGTCATGTTCATTGCTACTGTGGCATGTTCACTGCCTCTATGTCATGTTCACTGCCTCTATGTCATGATCACTGCCACTGTGTCATGTTTAATGCCACTGTGTCATGTTCATTGCCACTGTGTCATGTTCACTGCCACTGTATCATGTTCACTGCCACTGTCATGTTCACTGCCACTGTGTCATCTTCACTGCCACTGTATCATGTTCACTGCCACTGTCATGTTCACTGCCACTGTGTCATGTTCACTGCCACTGTGTCGTGTTCACTGCCACTGTGTCATGTTCACTGCCACTGTGTCATGTTTAATGTGTGTTCTGGTAATGTATTTTAAGTATAAAATAATTTAAAACTCAATTCAAATCACGGCTGGATAGCATGAAGTGAGATAGGTACTAAGCATTAGTGTCCTAAGTAGCTTGTAAAACTAAGACTGTAATTGCGCACAACTATGCACTTGGAATACAAAGGTACATATAACGCACAACTATGTACTTGGAATACAACGGCACAAATAACGCACTAAGAATACAAAGGCCCAATAGCGCGGAAATATGCACTTGGAATAAAAAGGTACCGTACATATAACGCACAACTATGCACTTGAATTACAAAGTCATAAATATGCACTTAGAATATAAAGGCTCAAATAAATACGCATTTAGAACACAAAGGCCCAAATAAATATGCATCACTGTGTCATGTTCACTGCCTCTATGTCATGTTCACTGCCACTGTGTCATGTTCATTGCCACTGTGTCATGTTCACTGCCTCTATGTCATGTTCGCTGCCACTGTGTCATGTTTAATGTGTGTTCTGGTAATGTATTTTAATTATTAGATAACTTAAAACTCAATTCAAATCACGGCTAGATAGTGTGAAGTGAGCTACTAAACACTAGTGTCCTAAGTACCTAGCTCGTAATACTAAGACGTAATACTAAGACGTAAGACGTAAGTAATTAATAATTAATAATTTAATTTTAATAATTAGTATAACGCAAAACTGTGCTCTTAGAATAGAAAGGGACATATAACGCGTAAACATGCATTTAGAATCCAAAGGCAAAACAACATGTAAATATGCACTTAAAATACAAAGGCACAAATAATGCATCAATATGCACTTGGAAACGAAAGGCAAAATAACTCATAAATATGCACTTAAAATACAAAGGCCAAAATAGCGCGTAAATATGCACTTGGAATACAAAGGCCCAAATAACTCATATATATGCACTTAGAATACAAAGGCCCAAATAACGCATAACTATATAATTGGAATATATATACAAAGGCCCAAATAACGCTTAAATATGCATTTAAACACAAATGCCCAAATAACGCATAACTATATAATTGGAATATATATACAAAGGCCCAAATAACGCTTAAATATGCATTTAAACACAAAGGCCCAAATAACGCATAACTATATACTTGGAATATATATACAAAGGCCCAAATAACGCTTAAATATATATTTAGAACCCAAAGGCCCAAATAAATACGCACTTAGAACACAAAGGCCCAAATAAATACGCACTTAGAACACAAAGGCCCAAATAAATACGCATTTAGAACACAAAGGCCCAAATAAATATGCTCTTATAATTGGATGAAGCGCAGTTAGTCGTTGCGGCGCCTGATGCTCGGCAGCTGCGCATGCTTCAAGGCCGCGTATCCCTGCTACGGCCCCATGCTTAATGTGGGGTCTGATGTGGTCTAAAGTGGTACAGACCTTCGTAGACCCATTGTAGGGGCTGATGTGGTCTAAAGTGGTACAGACCTTCGTAGACCCATTGTAGGGGCTGATGTGGTCTACAGTGGTACAGACCTTCGTAGACCCATTGTAGGGGGCTGATGTGGTCTAGAGTGGTACAGACCTTCGTAGACCCATTGTAGGGGGCTGATGTGGTATTGACCTTCGTAGACCCATTGTAGGGTCTGATGTGGTCTAGAGTAGTACAGACTTTCGTAGACCCATTGTAGGGGCTGGTGTGGTCTAGAGTGGTGTAGACCTTCGTAGACCCATGGTAGGGGCTGATGTGGTCTAGAGTGGTGCAGACCTTCGTAGACCCATTGTAGAGGCTGATGTGGTCTAGAGTGGTGTAGACCTTCGTAGACCTATTGTAGAGGCTGATGTGGTCTAGAGTGGTGTAGACCTTCGTAGACCCATTGTAGGGGGCTGATGTGGTATAGACCTTCGTAGACCCATTGTAGGGGCTGATGTGGTCTAGAGTGGTGCAGACCTTCGTAGACCCATTGTAGGGGCTGATGTGGTCTAGAGTGGTGCAGACCTTCGTAGACCCATTGTAGGGGCTGATGTGGTCTAGAGTGGTGCAGACCTTCGTAGACCCATTGTAGGGGCTGATGTGGTCTAGAGTGGTGCAGACCTTCGTAGACCCATTGTAGGGGCTGATGTGGTCTAGAGTGGTACAGACCTTCGTAGACCCATTGTAGGGGCTGAAGTGGTCTAGAGTGGTGTAGACCTTCGTAGACCGATATAAACAATGAAAACGTGAAATATTTGTATGTTTTATTGTGTATTATTGCTATTATTCGATATTTTATCCATGCACAACAGATATTTTTGGTAAATTTTTGTGTCTGTAACCTAAATTGAAACCTATAAATTGCATAAATAAACCTATAAATGTAAATATAAATATAACCTATATTGACTTTAAAAGAGGACCAAATTGTTGGAGCCAGTATGGCAGGTGCTATAGTGTGACAACGTCCTCAAGCGAGATTACAATGGCTTTATTTACGTACTGAGCTGCTAATAAAGATTTAATGAAGACGAGAAATTATTTAAAATGATGTTATCATTATCCTCATTCGTTGAATAGCTGCAGGAAACTGCAGTTCGGTTGTGCGAACTTCGGTTCCTTTTCGACATCGATGACGAATGTTCAAATTATACAAACGTATAGCATCTTATCGATGCTATCGTATCGTATCGATGCTATCGTATCGTATCGATGCTATAGTATCGTATCGATGCTATCGAATCGTATCGATGCTATCGTATCGTATAGTATCGTATCGATGCTATCGTATCGTATAGTATCGTATCGATGCTATCGTATCGTATAGTATCGTATCGATGCTATCGTATCGTATAGTATCGTATCGTATAGTATCGTATAGTATCGTATCATATAGTATCGTATAGTATCGTATCGATGCTATCGTATCGTATAGTATCGTATCGATGCTATCGTATAGTATCGTATCATATAGTATCGTATAGTATCGTATCGATGCNATGCTGTGCCTGGTATCACAGATACGCGTTCACTTCATTCACTGCGCCCACTGCAGTCAATATATATACCCTGTGCCCCCCTCCCCCCCGCATGCTGTGCCTGGTATCACAGATACGCGTTCACTTCATTCACTGCGCCCACTGCAGTCAATATATATACCCTGTGCCCCCCTCCCCCCCGCATGCTGTGCCTGGTATCACAGATACGCGTTCACTTCATTCACTGCGCCCACTGCAGTCAATATATATACCCTGTGCCCCCCTCCCCCCCGCATGCTGTGCCTGGTATCACAGATACGCGTTCACTTCATTCACTGCGCCCACTGCAGTCAATATATATACCCTGTGCCCCCCTCCCCCCCGCATGCTGTGCCTGGTATCACAGATACGCGTTCACTTCATTCACTGCGCCCACTGCAGTCAATATATATACCCTGTGCCCCCCTCCCCCGCATGCTGTGCCTGGTATCACAGATACGCGCTCACTTCATTCACTGCGCCCACTGCAGTCAATATATATACCCTGTGCCCCCCCTATAACTATATATATATTTATTGGCTAAATTTATTTCAGGGGAGAAAATGGTGGCACAATTTTAATAATTAATTTCCAATTCGTATATAAATAGCATTTCTTGTGCCGAATAAACCATCTTTTTTATTGTTCTTGCCCTGTAGCTTTTATTATATAAATAAAGTTTTCTTTGTTATGGAAACTCGAGCACACAACCTGCTACGATAGTTATTATGAGAACAAATATTGTGTGTATGTGTAAATTGTGTGAACGCGCTACATGAGTGGTCAGTTTGTATGTGTAGATTGTGTGAACGGCGTGGTCAGTTTGTATGTGTAGATTGTGTGAACGTGCTACATAAGTGGCCAGTTTGTATGTGTAGATTGTGTGAACGTGCTACATAAGTGGCCAGTTTGTATGTGTAGATTGTGTGAATGTGCTACATGAGTAGCCAGTTTGTGTAGATTGTGTGAACGTGCTGCATAAGTGGTCAGTTTGTATGTGTAGATTGTGTGTGCGTGTTACATAAGTGGCCACTTTATATGTGTAGATTGTGTGAACGTGCTACATGAATGGCCAGCTTGTATGTGTAGATTTGTATGGTATTCACTAATGTTACGTTTGTATAAATTGTATTGTATTCTCTAATGTTATGTTTGCATTGCATTCACTAATGGTATATTATTGTGTTCACTAACGCTATGTTGTCCTGTATTCACTAACGTTATGAATGTGTTAACTCATGTGTTGTATTGACTGTATTGCCTTGTATTAACTGTATATGTGTTGTATTGACTATTGCCTTGTATTAACTGTGTTTATATTGCCTTGTATTAACTGTATATGTGTTGTATTGACTATTGCCTTGTATTAACTGTGTTTGTATTGCCTTGTATTAACTGTATATGTGTTGTATTGACTATTGCCTTGTATTAACTGTGTTTGTATTGCCTTGTATTAGCTGTATATGTGTTGTATTAACTGTATATGTGTTGTGTGCAGCACCCAGAGAAGCTGGTGGCCATCAAGAGCATCACAAAGAAGAACATAGCGAAGAGCCAGGCGCTGCTTAGCAAGGAGATCAAGATTCTTCAGGTCAGTTTTATTCATTTTATATATTATATTATATTGGTCAATAATATCTCCTTGTTATACCTTATAGTCTTGCTGTTATATACCCCTAGAGTCTTGCTATTTTTTATATTCCTTCAGGTGAGTTTTATTCATCTTATACCTACCTATATTATATTGGTCAATAATATCTCCTTGTTACGTATACCTTATAGTCTTATAGTCTTGCTGTTATTATATTGGTCAAAGACATCTCATTGTTATACCCTATATTCTTGCTCTTATATACCCCTATAGTCTTGCTATTTTTTATATTCGTTCAGGTCAGTTTTATTCATCTTATATATTATGTTGGTCAATAATATCTCGTTGTTATACCTTATAGTCTTGCTGTTATATACCTACCCTTATGAGTTTTATTCATCTTATACCTATATTATATTGGTCAATAATATCTCCTTCTTATACCTTATAGTCTTGCTCTTATATACCTACCCCTATGAGTTTTATTTATATTATACCTATATTATATTGGTCAATAATATCTCGTTCTTATACCTTATAGTCTTGCTGTTATATACCTACCCCTATGAGTTTTATTCATCTTATACCTATATTATATTGGTCAATAATATCTCCTTGTTATACCTTATATTCTTGCTCTTATATACCCCTATAGTCTTGCTATTTACTATATTCCTTCTGGTCAGTTTTATTCATCTTATATATTATATTGGTCAATAATATCTCTTTATACCCTATATTCTTGTTGTTATTTTATAGGCTGCTATTTTTTTATGTTCCTTCAGGTGATTTTTATTCATTTTATATATTTTATTGGTCATAAACGTCTCGTTGTTATACCCAATAGTCCTTCTTCTCCATGCGAGACTAATGCGTTCTATGCAAACTTAACTTGGTCTTAACTAATCTACATTACCGGCAAAGGCTCACATCGATAAAAGAATTATAATAATAATATAAATATAATAATATAGTTATGTAGCACGTTCACACATCCACACATACTTATAATTCATAATAAAAATAATAATAATAATAATAATAAAATAATAATAATGTCTCACAGCTTATAACAGTTCACTTGAACACACGAGATGGAGCTAACATATTGAACGTTCAGTGCTGCTGAAAATATTTTAGCGTCTGCCTTGAGTTTAACTTCAATTTCGACTTGTTCCTGGGGTTTATTTCTTATTTTTTTGCATTCATGCTAGATTTTCGACTTATCAGGCGAATGATGAATTATAGGAGGATGATAAATATTAAGCGAATAATGAAGGATGGGTGGATGATGAATTATAGGAGGATGATAAATATCAGTTTAATATTAAAGGATATGCGGATGATGAATTATAGGAGGATGATATATACGATATCTGGCGAATAATGAAGGATAGACGGGTGATGAACTATAGGAGGATGATATATACGAGGCTAATATTAAAAGATAAGCAGATGATGAATTATGGATAGATGATAAATATGATATCAGTCGAACAATGAAGTATACTGAGATGATAGCAAGATATTGTATGCTGAACAATGGCACGAGTCAGGCTTTAACAAGGTGCTGGCGTTATCAGCTTAGGCTGTGAGCGCGAAAAAAAATCCTGTACCCATGCCGCGGTGTTGCTTAGGCCTACCGAGCCTAGCGTCCTGCCATCTTGTGGAGCACGTGGAGTCATGGAGCACACGTGGGGTCATGGAGCACACGTGGGGTCATGGAGCACACGTGGGGTCATGGAGCACATGTGGGGTCATGGAGCACACGTGGGGTCATGTAGCACACGTGGGGTCATGGAGCATTATTATATTGAAGTGCAAGTAGAGTATCATCTTATGATGCAAATAGTGTATCATTATATTATAGTACAAATAGGGTATCATCTTATGGTGCAAATAGTGCATTTATAGTCAAATTAGTGCATGGTCTGTCCACTGCCAGTGCCGCCATTTGTTGTGTTATATATGCGTCTGTCCCCGCGTACACAGGAGTACATTGTTGTCAACATGAGTGGCGGGCAAGAAGGATAACAATACACTGGGAGAAATGTATAGGAAGAAATATGTGTAAAAATATATAGAAAGAAATATATGAGAAGAAATATATAGGAAAAAATGTATAGGAAAACATATATAGAAAGAAATATATAGAAGATGAATAGTTTATTCAACTAGTCCTAGTTGCCCCAAAATGGACCTCATAGACCTCATCTCACACACGAGTGTATTGCTTACATGTCACGACATGTGGTATAGGGAAATAGATCTCCTTACGTTTATCTTACTCTTTGATCATCTCTCAATTTAAACAAGATAAAAATACATTGTTATGGATACGTAATCATTCTGTCTCTTAACTATTTTCCTCTTTTCTTTTACCTGTTTATCACGAAATTCACACGGAAAAGCCTTTAAACATTATAATGGTGAATAAAATCACTTAAAAGCGAACGCTATACTCATGTAGCTGATAAATTACAGTTTATTGAAGACTTTTGCAGCCAAGTTCAAAAAAATATAAAATTAATTTGTTGAAAATTAAAATTTTAAAAATGAGAGAATTTAATTTAATAATTGTATTTTTATTTGTAATAAGTAATATAATTTTTAGAATGAATTGAGAAATTATTAATGAGACTTATAAAATGAGAGTTGAATTCTCCTCATAGGTTAAGGAAATAAGAAAAAGTAATATTAATATTGAGGCGGAGGCAATAAATAAATTAATGAAATGCGTAGATGTGATGAAGAACAATGCAGTGTTGGTGTTGGTGTGGCGGCCTGAGTGGGTCACAGCAAGTGGGTCATACATGAAGCCTGCTCTGACAACTGCGCCGGGCTTCTTTGCTTCAAGTTTTGCCTTTGTTCTTTCATTGCCACCTAATTATTATCATTCATTCATCATTTACTATTTATTTTTACTATTTTTTTATTAATTATTTTTACATTTTTTTTATTTTCATTTATTTATTTTTAATATTTATTTTTATTACCTATTCATTTTTATTATTTATTTTTACTTTTTGTTTTATTTTGTTTTATTATTATTTATTTTTAATATTTATTCATGCTATGTATTTTTATTATTTGTTTTTACTATTTGTTTTTATTGTTTATTTTAATTATTTTATTTTACTATTTATATTCATTATTTATTTGTACTATTTCTTTTCTTATTTATTCCTGTAATTTTTTCTTCTTCTTTATATTATTATTCATAGTCACAATTCTTACTATTCATTCTTATGTTAAATTATTGTCTTGACAGTTGCTGCATTTTACGCGGTGTCAGTGTGTTATTCTTAGTCAGTTTTTACTCGTATCCTTTAGGATAATTTGATGACGATATTTTCTTGAGTATCAGTATGAATTATATCAAAGGGAAGGGTGTAGCTTTTACGTATCTCTTTATTTTGCGTGCATGTTTCTTCATTTTGCATAGATATTTCAATAATAATTGCTTTTGATATTTGTATTCTCGTATCAAATAAGTTATTTTTTAATATATATTATTTTCTGCAATTATCTTCATTGTTTCTATCTCACAATTATTTAAGGACTTGAAAGTTGGACGCTTTTGCTGTTTTTTTTTTCAATAACTGCGATGCTGTGATGCTTTTTGGTGCATTTTATGGAAAAAAGGCGCTATTGCGCTCGTCATGTCCGTCCGTCCGTCCGTCTGTCCGTCTCTCTGTCTGTCTGTCTCTCAGTCTATCTGTTTATCTGTCTGTCTATCTGTTCTGTCCGTCCGTCTGTCTGTCCGTCTGTCCGTCCGTCTGTCCGTCCGTCTGTCCGTCTGTCCGTCCGTCTGTCCGTCTGTCCGTCTGTCCGTGACTTCACGTTTTCGTCGACGAGAAAATGCGCTCTCAGTCACTCACTGCAGTGAGTACTGAGTTATATTGTTCAGTTCCTCGTTGATGATATTGACGGCTCGGCATATTCCAAGCGCCTTGTCAGGTTTCAACTCCTCTCGTTCACTCGTAAAAATTATGGGGTCAAATTATCCAAATATTTACACTTTCTTTACCCACAGCCCAAGCAGAGAGCGGACTTAGCACTGAAACGCCCGTTTTCCTGATCAAACTTAAAGGCAGAAAGTACATCGCTACTTTGACAAGGTTTTATTTCTTTGAGTGTATGCTACGCGATTTTCTAAATGAAAATAGCTTTTCTTAGTTGCCGAGTTAGCATTTAATGGCGTATGAAATTAGGTTAACGTATTAGGTTAAATTATGTTAACGTACGTATTAGCCTATTAGGTTAATTAACTAAACTTAACTAAATTAGGTTAACAGGCGTAAATTAGGTTAACGTAACAGCCTGTGCTGTGATGCGTTCATTGCCTTCATGCGCACTGCCAACTTTTGGTGCGAGTGATGAACACGTGGGGTCATGGAGCACACGTGGGGTCATGGAGCACACGGGTCATGGAGCATCATTATATTATAGTGCAAATAGTGTATTTATAGTCAAATTAGTGCATTTATAGTTAAGTTAGTGCATGGTGTGTCGGCTGCGAGTGACGTCATTTGTTGTGCTGTATATGCGTCTGTCCCATAGCAGTACATTGTTGTCCATGTGAGTGGCGAGCAAGAAGGATAACAATACACTGAGAGAAATGTATTGGAAGAAATGTGTAGGAATAAATATGTTATTAAAATATATAGAAAGAAGTATATAGGAAGAAAAATACAGGAAGAAATATATAGGAAAAAATGTGTAGGAAAAAATGTATAGGAAGAAACGTATAGGAAGAAATATATAGGAAGAAATGTATCGGAAGAAACGTATAGGGAGAAACGTATAGGAAGAAATATATAGGAAGAAACGTATCGGAAGAAATATATAGGAAGAAACGTATAGGAAGAAACGTATAGGAAGAAACGTATAGGAAGAAACGTATAGGAAGAAACGTATAGGAAGAAACGTATAGGAAGAAACGTATAGGAAGAAATGTATAGGAAGAAACGTATAGGAAGAAATGTATAGGAAGAAATGTATAGGAAGAAACTTATAGGAATAAATGCATAGGAAGAAATATATGGGAATAAATGCATAGGAAGAAATATATGGGAAGAAATGCATAGGAAGAAATATATGGGAAGAAATGCATAGGAAGAAATATATGGGAAGAAATATACTAGTATTAGATGGCAGATTTTACTTGTTTATACACGTGCGATTGATGACCAGAGAATTCGTTGATTTATATTATCAAGGAGTGGAACAATTCAAGTGTATAGAAAGAAATATATAGGAAGAAATATATACATAGAAGAAACGCATAGAAGATAAATAGTTGAATCAACTAGGCCTAGTTGATTAAAGCAAGTGTATTGCTTACATGTCACGACATGTGGTATAGAGAAATAGATTTTACGTTTATCTTACCTTTTGATCATCTCTCAATTTAAATAACATAAAATAAATTGTTGTGGATACGTAATCATTCTGTCCCTTAACTATTTTCCTCTTTTTTTCATCTATTTATCTCGAAATTTACACGGAAAAAGCCCTTTTATCAATATAATGAAAACTAAAATCATTTATGAGCAAACGCTGCTTATGTACGTAGCTGATGAATTACAGTTGATTGGGAAACCTTTTGCAGCTAAGTTCATAAAATTTAAAATTAATTTGTTGAAAATTGAAATTATAAAAATGAGGGAATTAAATTTATTACCAATATTATTTTATTTTCAATAACTTACATAATTTTTAGAATGAATTGAGATTTTATTAATGAGAGTTAAATTGTCATAGGTTAAGGAAATAAAAAGTAATATTAATATTGAATGAATTGAGAGTTATAAATGAGAGTTGAATTCTCATAGGTTAAATAAATAAGAAAAAGTAATATTAATATTGAGGCGGAGGCAATAAATAAATTAATGAAATGCATAGATGTAAGGAAGAACAATGCAGGGTTGGTGTTGGTGTGGCGGCCTGAGTGGGTCACTGGAAGTGGGTCATACATGAAGCCTGCCCTGACTACTGCGCCAGGCTTCTTTGCTTCAAGTTCTGCCTTTGTTCTTTCATTGCCACCTAATTATTATCATTCATTCATCATTTACTATTTATTTTTACTATTTTGTTATTATTTATTTTTACTATTTATATTTATTATTTATTTTACCTAATTATTTCTATTATTTTTTACTATTTATTTTTATTCTTCATTTATTACTATGTATTTTTATTATATATTTTTATTATATATTTTTATTATTTATTTTCTTATGTATTCCTGTTATTCTTTTTCTTCTTTATATTATTATTCATAGTCACAATTTTTACTATTCATTCTTATGTTAAACTATTGGCTTGAAAGTTGCTGCATTTTGCGAGGTCTTATAGTGTGTCATTAGTCAGTTTTTACTCGTATCAAAGGATAATTTGATGACGATATTTTCTTGAGTATCAGTATAAATTATATCATAGTGAACGGTGTAGCTTTGACGTATCTCTTTATTTTGCGTGCACGTTTTCTATCTATACAAAATATCTATACAAAATTTCTTCATTTTGTATAGATATTTCAATTATAATTGTTTGCTCGCGTTGATAGTATATAGTAGTCTCGCATCAAATAAAGTTTTTCATTTTTTCAAAAAGTTATTATTTTCTGTAATCATCTCCATTTTAAAGTCTTACAATTATATTGGGACGTGAAAGTTTGACGCTTTTGCTGTTCATCTCGCGATAATGACATTGACAAAAATAAATGGGTTAAATTATCCAAATATTTACACTTTCCTTACCCACAGCCCAAGCAGAGAGCGGACGTTGCACTGATACGCTCTTTTTCCGGATCAAACTTGAAGGTAGAACGTGCATCGGTAGTTGGACAAGGTTTTATTTCTTTGAGTGTATGCTATGTAATTCTCTAAATGAAAATTGCTTTATGGCGTATGAAATGAGGTCAACGTATTAGGTTAAATAACTAAACTTAACTAAATTAGGTTAACAGGCGTAAATTAGGTTAACGCAAAAGCCTGTAGGTGCGATGCGTTCATTGCCTTCATGCGCACTGCCAACTTTTGGTGTGCGTGATGTACGCAGGCGTAGTGATGTACGCAGGCGTAGTGATGTGCGCAGGCGTAGTGATGTACGCAGGCGTAGTGATGTACGCAGGCGTAGTGATGTACGCAGGTGTAGTGATGTACGCAGGCGTAGTGATGTGCGCAGTCGTAGTGATGTACGCAGGCGTAGTGATGTACGCATGCGTAGTGATGTGCGCAGTGATGTACGCAGGTGTAGTGATGTACGTCTGTAGTGTGAATGATTGAATGATGATGTTATGTGCATAAGACCGTACGACAAACAACGTACAAGTAAATGACTTCCTGTATATACATTTCATTCATAATTCTGTATACGTGTTTGCTTAGCCCTGTGTTCAGTGTGATGAGTTTAAACGCCTTCGATATTGTTTTCTTTGTGACCACTCATTCAATTTAGAATATTTCAGCTAAATTATTGTCTCATTACAATTATGTTAAGACTTTAATATGCTACTCTCAGAGGCAATAGGGACCGTAGAGCTGTTATATCTTACAAATCTTACGAATAATCGAATTATGTATCGAATAATCGAATCGATAGTATCTTACGAATAATCGATTAATATGGACAAAGTAGAACGTCGCACCTGCCTCGATTTTCCCATTAATAGGTTCATTATTCTGTATGTTAATGTGGTAAAAAGTATTATTCTTGTCCGCATTACGGCCCAATATAATATATAAAAAAACATGGGCAAATTAGTGGTGGATTCTAACTATAATGTTCGAACAGCTGACGCAATAATCTGCCCAAGACTTAGCAGTGTTTTCTTGCAGAAATTCTCGAGATGTGGCACCGTTGCAAGGCCTGTTCTTGCAACAATTTTGGAGATGTGGCAACGTTGCAATGACGTTTAAAAGGGTGGTGCTCCCTGCCGTGTTGCGACGTTGCCAAGTCTCCGCATCAAAACAAAGCTGTGCAATTGTGCCACATCTCAAGTGCAAGTGTGCCACATCTCGCGTGCAAGAGTGCCACATCTCGCGTGAATAGCGTTCACGTTTGTCAACCTTCACCCAAATGTTACTCACAACACTAGCACTTGTCTATGCTTGATCATTGCTGCTGTCGTGCGAAATTTTAGAGCGTTCATGGCATGCAATATTATAGTTGAGATGGTGAACGAAGTTGTGATGGTGAACGTAGTTGTGATGGTGAACGAAGTTGTGATGGTGAACTTAGTTGTGATGGTGAACGAAGTTGTGATGGTGAACGAAGTTGTGATGGTGAACGAAGTTGTGATGGTGAACGAAGTTGTGATGGTGAACGAAGTTGTGATGGTGGTCAGGAACGCAGCTAGTGCAACATGGCGTCACCCAGCTGACTCCTTCTCGCCTTTTTGTCACCTCCCAATTATTGCTGGTTCCCTTTCTTCCGTTTAAGTTCTTACGTTATTTCTACTACTTAATTACCAGTTTACCGTATTTTCACATTTTCCCTGGAAGTATTTTTCTCAAATAAATACCGATGTCATTCACTCTTTTTGTCGATGCAATACCAGTCTATTTTTCATACCTAACATTATTTCTATATTTTATCTTTTTCCTTGTCTTGCTATTTTCCTAAGTCGTTGTCAGAACGAACGAAGAAATGAGCCTCACGAACACAACGAAAGCACCAACACGCCTCACGAACACACCTAATCACGAAATTAATACAATTCATTTCTATTATTAATTCTAATACGATTTCTATATATTATTAATATTAGTACAATTTATTTATATTATTTTGTATCAATAAATCTTCTATATCAATTCGATTTCTATATATTATTATATTTTCGATTTGTATGTATTATTAGTAGCAATTCCGTTTCTATGTATTATTAATATTATTTCTATTTCTACATATTATTAATATTAATACGACTCATTTATATTAACATCAACATTAATACGATTTCTATCTATTAATAATATTAATACGATTCATTTATATTATCAATATCAACAAGTCTTCAATATATTATTAATAATAATAAGACTTATATAAATTATTAATATCAATACGATTTCTATATATTATTTATATCTGTACGATTCATTTATATTAGTACGTTTTCTCTGTATTATTAACATCAATACGATTTATTTCTATTAATATAAATAAGTTTTCTATACATTTTTAACATTAATAATATTAATTTTATCACTCTCAGGAGCTGACAGAGCTGCAGCATGAGAACGTCGTGGCACTGCTCTCCTGCCATGTGAGTTACATTCATTCAGTCATTCACTTCTTCACCTCATGTATTAATTCAATTTTGAGTGTGTGAATGTATACTATACATTTGTTAGATCATGTATTAATTCAACTGTGTGTGTGTAAATGTATACATTTGTATGTGCGTCTGTGTGTGTGTTGTTCTAACCAGCGTGGCCTGGGGCTGTAACGTCCAGCATTTTAAATAATATACAAATTCTGTATATTTTTCATTCATTTACGTACAATTCTAATGAATTTACATCAAGGTATTTATTAAATGTGTATGAAATGACAATGAAAAACGGAGTTGTAATACGTTAATTGTTATGTATCGTAGTAAGCATTAATTCATTTATGTGAAATTCTAATAAATTTGCATTAAGGTAATTTGTAAATATGTGTAAAAATGGCACTGAATAAGCGGAGTTTTTAACGTTTTATATTGCGTAAAGTTAAGCAATTAAGTTTCTCCTGTTCTTGTCTGCTCTGTTCATTCACTCAGACAAACGAGTGGGACTTTGTCCCAATAGCGATACACTGTCTGCCTCTGTGTGGGTTATCTTGACTCTGTTCATCTGCTGGCCTGACATAGAGCGTATAGTTGGTCTGACGTCAGCTCTCTGCTTCTGTTGTGGGTGATGAAGTGTCACTGTGTGGAAAGTTTGACCCGCACATTTGTGTGAGTATTCAGTCCTTCTGTCTCCTTGTTTTGTGTGAATGTAAATAATAACCGTACTTAAATATAATGAATGGACTTATATATAATGACCGTACTTATCTAGTGACCGTACTTATATGCTGATCGTACTTGTATAGTGGCCGTACTTATGTAGTGACCGTACTTATGTAGTGACCGTACTTATATACTGACCGTACTTGTATAGTGGCCGTACTTATGTAGTGACCGTACTTATGTAGTGACCGTACTTGTATACTGACCGTACTTGTATAGTGATAGTACTTATATAATGACCGTACTTATATAGTGACCGTACTTATATACTGACCGTACTTATATAGTGGCCGTACTTATATAATGGCCGTACTTATATAGTGACAGTACTTAAATAGTGACAGTACTTATATAATGACCGTACTTATATAGTGACCGTACTTATGTAGTGACCGTACTTATATACTGACAGTACTTATATAGTGGCCGTACTTATATAGTGACCGTACTTATATAGTGACCGTACTTATATACTGACCGTACTTGTATAGTGGCCGTGCTTATATAGTGACCGTACTTGTATAGTGGCCGTGCTTATATAGTGACAGTACTTATATAGTGACAGTACTTAAATAATGACCGTACTTGTATAGTGGCCGTACTTATATATTGACCGTACTTATATAGTGACCGTACTTATATAATGACCGTACTTATGTAGTGACCGTACTTATGTAGTGACCGTACTTATATAATGACCGTACTTATATAGTGACCGTACTTATGTAGTGACCGTACTTATATACTGACCGTACTTATATAGTGACCGTACTTATATACTGACCGTACTTATATAGTGACCGTACTTATATAGTGACCGTACTTATATACTGACCGTACTTGTATAGTGGTCGTGCTTATATGTCACATGCAATACCTAGTCAGGGTTAAATTCAAACACCTCTTACACTATTGTAAATAATGACCGCTCTTATATATGTGTCAATATATACGCGTCAGGGCTAAATTTAAACACCTCATACACCATTCATCAATAGGGGAACCTCAAGTAAAACTCCACCGTACTATACTTGAGTGCTGTGCCAAAAATGTCGCTATATATATATAATTTCACTCTCGTATGCGGTTTTGTTATACTTTTCCATCGTAGTTAATTCAGCAGAGGTGATAGCGGTTATACCTGCAATGCAATATCAATAAAACATTATTTAAATTGATGCATATGCATTGTGCAGATTACTTGTATAATGCAGACTGTAAATATACTATTTATAGTTGCATTCGATGTATTAGAGCGAATTACAGTTCAAATTGAGAGTGATGGCGATCAACTGTTTTCTGGCGAGGATATTGTTTTCTGTTGACGTTTTAACGTCGTGTTTTACGAAATATTAATTGTTGTCTGGGCCGTTCGTTCATAGTTCTGGGCTACTAACGTACCATCGCTGAACAAATTAATTATTATGACGGATTTCAGACAGGAGCTGTTCATTAATTGAGATATAGGGGCTATATGGCGGTGCCTTGAATTGTATAGGCCTTCAATATTATAACAACATATTCAATATATTCCTCACGCAACACGCACAGTAACGCCTTGATAACAACGTATTCAATGATAACAACATATTCAATAGTAACAACATATTGAATAATAATATATTCAACAATAATATAATATATTCAATAGTAACAACATATTGAATAATAATATATTCAACAATAATATAATNCCTTCAATATTATAACAACATATTCAATATATTCCTCACGCAACACGCACATTAACGTGTTAATAACGAAGTATTCAATGATAACAACATACGGTATTGAATAATAATGTATTCAATAATAACAACATATTCATTAATAACATTCAATAATAACAACATATTGAATAATAATGTATTCAATAACAACAAGATATTCATTAATAACATTCAATAGTAACAACATATTGAATAATAATATATTCAATTATAACAACAAATTCAATATATACCCACGCGATGGTATAGACGGCTTTATAGGAAGCGACTCCATTCGTCCATTTAACCGTTGCTGAATTTATTATTAAATGTTATTCATTTCGTCATTGCTTGGTAACGGCTAGTATATAATACAAATAAATGAATAACTTATCATTCACAGCGTTTCAGTGACCACTTCATTTTTCATGTGGTTAATTACAAATCATGTGGTTCGGTCTATTGAAAAAAAAAATAAGAAAATTGTCAATAAAACGAATTCTCTGGTCTTCAACGAAACCTGCTTAAAAAATTTAAAATTGGCAAATAAATTCTGGAATCATTTATTTTTATTGCGTCGCGCTGTAGTCTCGCTATAGTTATTGCCAATAAAACGAACTTGCTTAAAAGAAATTACAAATTTGCAGATAAATTCTGGAATCGTTCATTTATATTGCGTCGCGCTGTAGTCTCGCTATAGTTTGGCTGGCGCGGCCTTGAGTCGACTCGGGAGCTGTCTGGTGTGATCTGCTCTTCCGGACTGACATGCGGCAACATGCGTGTTGTTGCTGCTACATGCGTGTAACATGCGTGTTGTTGCTGCTACACGCGTGTAACATGCGTGTTGTTGCTGCTACATGCGTGTAACATGCGTGTTGTTGCTGCTACACGCGTGTAACATGCGTGTTGTTGCTGCTACACGCGTGTAACATGCGTGTTGTTGCTGCTACATGCGTGTAACATGCGTGTTGTTGCTGCTACATGCGTGTAACATGCGTGTTGTTGCTGCTACACGNTTGCTCTTACATGCATGTTATTTATGTAACATGCTGTTACTGCTCTTACATGCATGTTATTTATGTAACATGATTGTTACTGCTCTTACATGCATGTTATTTATGTAACATGATTGTTACTGCTCTTACATGCATGTTATTTATGTAACATGATTGTTACTGCTCTTACATGCATGTTATTTATGTAACATGATTGTTATTGCTCTTACATGCATGTTATTTATGTAACATGATTGTTATTGCTCTTACATGCATGTTATTTATGTAACATGATTGTTATTGCTCTTACATGCATGTTATTTATGTAACACGATTGTTTTTTACTGCTCTTACATGCATGTTATTTATGTAACACGATTGTTATTGCTCTTACATGCATGTTATTTATATAACATGATTGTTTTTTACTGCTCTTACAAGCATGTTATTTATGTTACATGATTGTTACTGCTCTTACATGCATGTTATTTATATAACATGATTGTCACTGCTCTTACAAGCATGTTATTTATGTTACATGATTGTTATTGCTCTTACATGCATGTTATTTATGTTACAAACAACAATTAACTTCCTGCCAGAAGCAGTTGTCACGAGCAGATCTGACCTCGCTAGTTACACTTGTGTTAACTTCATACGAATTCGTGATTTACATACATATGACGAGCATCCGCGACATGCAAGGATGAAATTTTGTTTTATTTGCATATGCTGTGAAAATTGTCTGGGTTTTAATAGTAAAAAATAATGAATTTCGGTAAAAAATAATCCATTATCGGTGTATTAATTGAGCTTGTTGTAATCTATACGCTCGCGATTCTTCTGGGAGATTGTTTCTCCAGAAACAATCTGCCAAAGCTTCACAATATATTGCGAGACATTGGTTTATTTCGAAACGTACCTTGTTTAATTATTTAAAAATGATTAGCAAATATCTTTAAATGTGTGGAGTTTTAACTAAATTAGCCTTTATTACAGACAACGCGGCCCTATTTATCGAAATTTCTTTCACTAGTCGCTACTGCAGATAACGGATCCCTATGTCTGCAGCCGTATATATCTGCAGTAATTGTACTATATATAGCTGTAGCATGCTGCTGTGTAGAGCACAACATATTGTACAGTTGTATTCTGTAAACACACTTCAAAACCTCCTGGAATACAGGGCCTATACTTTCAAAAAAAGTTAAGAGATCGTAAGTTCATCAGCCAATCATTGACGGCCTTTCAAGCAAAATCCACCAATCACAGATAAGAAAATAGAGCGTAAGTACTTACGTTCACTTAGCGAGTTTTGAAAGTATGGCCCCTGGTTTGCACAGAAATTTGAGACTGTCGCAGTGTGCTGGAAATATCATCCGTATACCTAAACCGCTGAGCTTGCTCGTGACGATAGCTATACCGCTCCTATATACCTGTTCTTATATGACAGCACTACAGCTCCTATATACCTGCTCTTATATGACAGCTTACTTACTATACCCACAGCTGTAACATCATTGATATACCTGCTATAGCAACCACTGCGCCCTCTCATATACTGTACCTGCTTCTATAGGACAGCTCTATACTCACCTATAACTGTAACATCATTGATATACCTGCTATAGCAACCATTGTACCCTACCATATACCTGCTCCTATAGGACAGCTCTACTCACCTATAGCTGTTACATCATTGATATATCTGCTATAGCAACCACTGGACCCTACCATATACCTGAAATCACTTCCTGTGTGGCCCCTGACTTTTTATGTCGTTTTTACTTTTTTGCTGCACGCGTCCGTTGTGAACGGCAGTGAACTTGACCTTTCCTGGTGCTATATATTGTATAACCTTCTCTGGGCACCACCAGAGGTGCTATATATTGTATAACCTTCTCTGGGCACCACCAGAGGTGCTATATATTGTATAACCTTCCCTGGGCACCACTAGAGGTGCTATATATTGTATAACCTTCCCTGGGCACCACCAGAGGTGCTATATATTGTATAACCTTCCCTGGGCACAGAGGTGCTATATATTGTATAACCTTCCCTGGGCACAGAGGTGCTATATATTGTATAACCTTCCCTGGGCACCCGCGGCCCGCTGTCTCTCTTCCCTCATATTTCTTCAGCTGAGGGCCGTGGGGGAAGAAATAAAATGTCGCGTGTGCTTTTATGAGTAATTTTTCTGTGTGGAGATGATTGTTTAGTGTATTGTTTAAACATACAATAAATGAAATGTTTCATTTTATGAGTAATTTTACTGTGTGGAGATGCATCAGTCGGCCATGAATGTTTTGTGTATTGTTTAAACATACAATGAATGAAATGTTTTACCGTATGAGTAATTGTGCTGTGTGAAGATTCATCCAGTCAGCCATGAATGTTATTTTATTGTTTAAGCATGCAATAAATGAAATGTTTTACCGTACGAGTATTTGTACTGTGTGGAGATGCATATAGTCGGCCGTGAATGTTTAGTGTATTGTGTAAACATACAATAAATGAAATTTTTCATCGTCTTAGAAATGCAGGAGTGCGAAGATGAGAGGAAGGATGTTTGTTTCGTGTTCAGTTTCTGATGTAAAGCTGGTAACTCTCGTATTTATCCTCAGTTTAAAGTATGAAATAATTTGTATTGCTATTAATTCTCTATTTAAACATACCGATTTGTTAATGAAATAAGTACCTATTCAAAATTTAAATGATCTCAGTTTCAATCATATATGACAATGGCTGTCATGAAGTATAAGCAATATGAAGCTTACGTACGTTATTATTATACGAAATTTCTAAACTAATGTGGAAACGTTTTTATTTATTCGATATTTCAACTAATGTGGAATTTTGTCTTCTTTACAGGAGACTCCAACGCACGTACATCTCGTCATGGAGGTAAGCGCTTCCGTTATGCACTAGTGATATGCACTAGTGGTTGAAGCACTAGCGGTTGAAGCACTAGCGATATGCACTATCGGTTGAAGCACTAGCGGTTGAAGCGAGCGGTAGCATTTTGATCGTGCAGATCAGCGATTTATTTTGTTTAGCCCAAGATTACCATGAACAAAAACATGCCTTCAAGCTCATTCATGAATTCTGCACCATTTTTGTGGGAAGTTTTGCATCGTATAGGAGAAGTGTTGATACAAAGGCACAAACTCGCGTGCGTCGCCAATATAATGTTTGGTGTTGTGTTACGGTTAACCAGCTACGGTTAACTATCTACGGTTAACCAGCCACGGTTAACCTGCTACGGTTAACCAGCTACGGTTAACTAGCTACGGTTAACTAGCCACGGTTAACTAGCCACGGTTAACTAGCCACGGTTAACTAGCCACGGTTAACTATCTACGGTTAACCAGCCACGGTTAACCTGCTACGGTTAACCAGTTACGGTTAACTATCTACGGTTAACCAGCCACGGTTAACCATCTACGGTTAACCAGCCACGGTTAACCATCTACGGTTAACCAGTTACGGTCAATGCTTCGTCTTCCTACATCATTAAGGCTTGTCCTTGAGGCTTTGAACCTTCGCTCACGGTAATGACGGCGATTTCTTAAAAAAAGACAATTTCTACAGTAACATTACTTGTTAATGCGGTTACCAGCATCAGCGATACCATGAGATGATGTAGGCTTCGGAGGGCCGACCTGCTACAAAATATTTTGTTCAGGTCGCGTTCAAAATTTTGTTTTGTTTTGTTCGCGCTCAAAATATTTTGCGTTCAAAAGATTTTCCGTTCAAAAGGTTTCGCGTTCAAAATATCAAACGTTTAAAAGATTACGCGTTCAAAAGATTCCGCGCTCTAAAGATTTCGCGTTCAACAGATTACACGTTCAAAAGATTGCGCGTTCAAAAGATTTCACGTTCAAAAAATTTCATGTTCAAAGATTTTACGTTCAAAAGATTGCGCGGTAATACTTATAATACGGTAAACTAAAAACAAAATGAATGACTGGAATGCTGGGTAATATAAAAATATAATATTAAATAATATTAAATAAAATAACATTAAATATAATTATTAAAATTAATAATATAATATAATTATTAAAATTAATTATTTAATATATATTAAAATTAATATTATTAAATATATTTAATATAATATTAAGTATATGAATATAATTTTAACATTAATTAAATTACATTAAATATAATACGGTAAACTAATACAAATCTTTGCACAACTGTAATGCGTGATCTGAAAGTGCCTGCGTTGCTGCATGCGCTCCAGCCTGTGATGTGAGGGTACTAACCCCCTCATCGTGATGACGAGTGATGGTCTCACCATATCTCACTTATCATCATCACGAGTTGGCTGAGCTTATAGTGAGATCCTCGTCATTATTGTGACACGTCGTGATGACGAGTGTGATGTATTGTGACGAGTGATGACGAGTGTGATGACGAGTGATGGTCTCACCATATCTCACTTATCATCATCACGAGTTGGCTGAGCTTATAGTGAGATCCTCGTCATTATTGTGACACGTCGTGATGACGAGTGATGGTCTCACCATATCTCACTTATCATCATCACGAGTTGGCTGAGCTTATAGTAAGATCCTCGTCATTATTGTGTCATGTGTTATTTACTCTATTAAATTGTACGTGCGTAACATTGTACGCTCAGCAGAAGTCATAGTACTGTCTAATATGCGAATACGGCAAACGCAAAGCAATATCTTACGCAAAAGTATACTGAATAATAAAATAATGCTTGTGATATTAATATTATCAAGATTATTATTATTAGATTATGTACAGAATTCTGCTAAAATTATATGGGCGGTAAGTTGATGATACCACGCGTGTTGGAAGTGCAGCAGCCACGTGATGCCCGCATGCTGCACAGCTGCTGTGTTAGGGCGTCTCAAACTGCAGGCTCCTTTGTTTGAGTGTCTCAAACTGTCTGAGCGTCTCAAACTGTCTGACTGTCTCAAACTGTTTGAGTGTCTCAAACTGTCTGAGTGTCTCAAACTGTTTTGAGTGTCTCAAACTGTTTTGAGTGTCTCAAACTGTTTTGAGTGTCTCAAACTGTTTGAGTGTCTCAAACTGTTTGAGTGTCTCAAACTGTTTGAGTGTCTCAAACAGTTTGAGTGTCTCAAACAGTTTGAGTGTCTCAAACAGTTTGAGTGTCTCAAACTGTTTGAGTGTCTCAAACAGTTTCAGTGTCTCAAACAGTTTGAGTATCTCAAACTGTTGCCTTCGCGCCTCTGGAGTTAAATAATAATGAACGAATCAATTCTACATATTAAAATTAAAATTTAAGTTCCAAATAAGTAAGTAGATTATTTTTTAACATGCTTATTAAGCTATAAATTCTGTAAGCTGTACTAATTGATATAGTGCGCTGGAGTTTGTTTTCGTAAACTTTGCACGAGTGTACCCAAATCCATTGACATTCGCACCTCCGTTCTTGGTAGTTTACGGTAGTAAAGTCTGAGGTTCTGTATTTTAATATTTTAAATAATTGGCTGTGACGTACTTGGCAAGTTTATTAATTCGTTATATTTTTATTCTGCTTAACGTTGACTTGTGTTGTCATGACTGCGCTGCGCATAAATGTGCTCTTTGCCATGCGCGTTGTACTCATCACTAATGTTTTTAACAAATTAATATCCTGATGAATAATGCGAATAACTGCCAAATTCGGTAAAATCAAGCAGCATCGTGTTTTTTTAAGTCCTTAAATTTATTGATGATATGTAACCAAAAGTCGATCAATAAGATATGTTTTGGTTCGTTCCAATATTATTCTTCAAACATTAATAATAATCTTGAGAATCCAAAGAACCACAAGTGCGATCAAAAATAATAATGTTCAAATACAGACGGTAAGGAAAATGAGCTGCAATAAAATCGAGCTGTTGTTTTCGCACTGACGTGATAACAATCGAGCTGTTGTTTTCGCAGTGACGTGATAACATCACAGCTATTTGAGGCGATGATTGATTGTTTACTAGATTTGTTGTTTGCTAATGATTTGTTTTTACTAGATTTGTTGTTTGCTAATGATCATATTTTACTGGATTTATTATTAACTAATGAATAATTTTTACTGGATTTATTGTTAACTAATGAATAATTTATGCTGGATTTATTGTTTACTAGTGAATAATTTTTACTGGATTTATTGTTTACTAATGAATAATTTTTACTGGATTTATTGTTTACTAATGAATAATTTTTTCCTGGAAGCATTGCTTACTAATGATTAATTTTTTACTGAATTTATTGTTTACTAATGATTAATACTTTAATTGATTTATTATAATTAATGATTCATTGTTTACTAATGATTCATATTTTAATAGATTCATTTATACTAATTATTTATTTCTTAACAATTATTTAGCGTTTGCCGAGCATAGGGTCGGCGCACGTCGTTCAAATGAAAGACGCGTGCCACACGTCGAGCTCTATTTTATATATACATATATACATATATATTGTATATTGTATATATATGAGAGCAGATGTAACGTAACGCGCTGCCTGTTATGGCAGTCATGGTATTGCTGATATATCTTACTTCTTGAAATATATATTTTATATTTAATTCATACACTGTTAGAAAAAAAACGGTGAAAAAACGGTCCCACTGGCGTTCTAGTGGCCGGTCGCCCCGGGAAAATAAACTGTTTCGCTGTTTTTATCAGATGTTTTATGGATTTCTAGTGTTAAATTAGAATAAAAACGGTGACACGGTGTTTCTTTTCACGTGCCGACCGGCCACTGAAACCCCGGTAATACCGTTAACGGTAATTTTTCTAACAGTGTATTTTTAATTCGTACGATGGTACGAACAGCCAAGTTTCCCCTGGTGAACGCAAAGGCTTGTAAGATATTAGCACGTTGACTACGATTGCTTCATCTTGTACAATTATTTCATTTTTTGTACTTTTTTTAAGCAGGGTTGCCAGACGGTCATTTTTTCTGGACAAATTCCGTGATTTAGTTTTTCTCAATTGCGTTGGCCGGCTAAAATTTATGATAGGGGTACCTACTTCCAAATTAAATTTTAAATACTGCAAAAAGAAAATAAATGGAATTTTTATAGCGGAACCTACAAATAAACTAGTATACATTGAATTATCGGCCTTTTTTTGGCCTTTTTTATTCTCGGATTTGGCCGATTTTAGGCAACCTGAATTGTGTACCACTACCTCCTGGAGAAATACATTTCGTGGTACGCATATGTTTCCAATTCGCAGTCAACGTGCTGAGGAATTTCATTTAACCTATCGGTTAAAATTTACGTGCTAAAGTGGTGGGGTGAAGTGGTTGACATGACATAAATATCCCACACTCCGTATGGGCCGAATAGTGCCTATTTTTATTAGTTTTGCTGCTATAGGATTAACTTAATTAAGCCATCGCATCCTCATCACACATATCTTGCATTGCTGGGCATTAACCAGAATTTAAATCCTAAAAATTCAATCTGGATTTGCTATTGCGAGGTATATCCATGTCCGCTGTCCTAAAATTCACGTGTTTTCGATGAGCGGAAAGTGCGTTTCTTGTGCAAGGTTTTTGAATGCCGTGTGGTCATAATACAATATGTAATATAATGTAATTACACTACATATTGTAATGTAATGTAATTACATTACTTATTGTAATGTAATGTAATTACATCACATAATGTAATGTAATGCAATTACATCACATAATGTAATGTAATGCAATTACATTACTTATTGTAATGTAATGTAATTACATTACTCATTGTAATGTAATGTAAATCAATTGCATTACATATTGTAACGTAATGTAATTAATGGTCATAATTGCTTCTATCAGTTTTCAGTGATCGATGAGCAACGTGGCTCTTAAAATAATTTTTTAGGCTGACATGAATATTTTACATTACCGTACTGTGAATTTCTTGTATTTTTTTTTTCAGTACTGCAATGGTGGCGACCTGGGGGACTATCTCAGCGGTGAGTAATCGTTTATTTTGTTTGTTCAGTTTTTGCAGTTTTTAATATATTTTTCGAAATTACTAAATTATATTATCTGCTCAATTCAGTGCAATCTATTTTAGTTTTCTTTTTTTTTAATTATCCAAGATTTGCTCCATTCCTATGCATCTGTCACATCTTCTATGTACTCAAAACTCAATTTTTATGAATTTATGATATTGTGAATATTATTGATATCCTATATCATACGTATAAACACTTTAATTATAGTGATAATTAATAATTGATCACTACGAGACTCTTGACTTGTAACTAATTACCGAGTAATAAGCAAAAAAGTACGTAATTATATATATATAAATGTAATTATATACGAGGTATTATATAAACAAGAACCAGCGCAATTTTTTCCATTGTTTTCGATTGACTAAAACAATTCTGTTCACTCCAATGCTACATCAGTTAGACGTTTGTTCTCTGGAGGTACAATAGTGTTGTGAATCGGCGGAAATCCTGCAGGATATCCAGTCATATATTGCCTCGTGAAGGGATATTGCCTTTGCTATCCGAACAATTCCTGCGTAAAGCACTTGCTTTATACACTGCGTTCTTACATCAGTGCTATCGTTATTTATACTGCATTACTTATACTGCATTACTTATACTTATACTTATATTATACTTTACGTGTTGATTTACGTTACATATTTTGAATTGGTTATTGACTAGAATTCAAATCCTATAAGAATTTTCTTTTTACTGTATAAGATTAACTCAATGAAAACATGGTCTCCTGATCATATATCCTATATTGGTGGACAATAATCAGAATTTAAATCCTTTCAGGATTTTGAATTGGTTATTGACTAGAATTCATATCCTGTAAGAATTTGCTTTTTACAGTATAGGATTAACTCAATGATAACATGAATTCTTCATCACACATCCTATGTTGGTGGACAATAAACAGAATTTAAATCCTTTCAGTATATGCGCTTTACTGTAGGATTAACTCAATGAAAACATGGTCTCATCACACATCTTGTATCTGTTACTAAACAGAATTCAAATCATATAAGAATTTGCCTTTTACTGTAGGATTAACTCGATGAAAGACATGGGTCTTCAGCACACATCCTGTATTGGTGGGCACTATCCAGAATTCAAATCCTGTAGGGATTCGCTATTTATTATAGGATTAATTCAATGGAGAAATGGTATCCGCATCGCACATTTTGTCTTGAAGGGCACTAACCAGGATTCAAATCCTATAAGGATTCGCTATTTATTATAGGATTAACTCAATTAAGAAATGGTATCCGTATCACACATTTTGTCTTGAAGGGCATGCACTAACCAGGATTCAAATCCTATAAGGATTCGCTATTTATTATAGGATTAATTCAATGGAGAAATGGTATCCGTATCACACATTTTGTCTTGAATTAAGGGCACTAACCAGGATTCAAATTCTATAAGGATTCGCTATTTATTATAAGATTAATTCAATTAAGAAATGGTATCCGCATCACACATTTTGTCTTGAAGGGCTCTAACCAGGATTCAAATCCTATAAAGATTTACCTTTTACTGTAGGATTAACTTAATGGAGATATCGTCTCCTCATCCATCGCACCCATTGCATNATGTAAGAGGGTGCGCAATATATCTAAATATTTGCAATATATGTAAACATATATAGGTAATATATGTAAACATATATAGGTAATATATGTAAACATATATAGGTAATATATGTAAATATATATAGGTAATATATGTAAACATATATAGGTAATATATGTAAACATATATAGGTAATATATGTAAACATATATAGACAACATGTGTAAATATATATAGGTAATATATGTAAACATATATAGGTAATATACGCAAATATATATAGGTAATATATTTATTTTGGGATATTCACCGAAAATTTGGTTTCAACTGGAAGAGATATTTTGGAAACTTCTTTTTCCCAGACGACCGTTATCGTTGCATTTATATGCATGTTATATTTATTCTTTTGTGATATTTATATCAAATTTCTAACCATTTTTTATTTTAATTTTTGAGCAAGTTCACGGATTGCAACTCTATGGTTAGATCATTTTGCTTCTTGTATGGTATTTATTTTACAAAACAATACAATAATTTACTTATTTATTAGGTATTTTTTTATTTTTATGATGATGGCGTCGCAATGCTATTTTTACAAGTATCGTTGATAATAATAATAATAATAATGATCATAAATCATTAATAATAATAATAATGATCATTAATAATAATAATAATGCTCATAAATCATCAATAATAATAATTAATAATAATAATAATTTACCATGCTCATAAATCACTAACAATAATAATAGTGATCATAAATCACTAATTATAATAATAATAATAATAATAATGCTCATAAAACATTAATAATAATAGTATTAATGCTCATAGATCATCAATAATAATAATAATAATAATAATGATGACGGTGTGCAGCGGAAGCGATGCTGGCGATGGCGGCTAAAGGCATCGTGCACCGCGACCTGAAGCCTCAGAACATCCTGCTGTCCCATGACGGCCCGCCATACCCGCCACCCGCCGCCATCACGCTTAAAATAGGTGAGTGTTGCCGCCATACCCGCCACCCGCCGCCATACCCGCCACCCGCCGCCATACCCGCCACCCGCCGCCATACCCGCCACCCGCCGCCATACCCGCCTTTCAACTTTCTTTCATAAAATATGCTATCTATTGAATATTTATTTTTCTTAAATATGCTATCTATTGAATATTTATTTTTTTTTATATATGCTATCTATTGAATATTTATTTATCTTATCTATGCTATCTATTGAATGTCTATTTTTCTCTTGCACTGCAGCTTTTTAACCTAGAGCTTAGTTGAGAATCGGCAATGCGGTCTGTCATTAAATTATTATTATGTTTTAATTAAAAATACACCTCGATACATACGCTTTGTTATGTATATAATATATATATATATATGTATACATGGGTCTCTTTATAACAAAACATTTCTGTGTATGTGTACGGATTAATAATACAACATCATGCCACGTGTATGTTGCACCATGCCACGTGTATGTTGCACCATGCCACGTGCATGTTGCACCATGCCACGTGTATGTTGCACCATGCCACGTGTATGTTGCACCATGCCACGTGTATGT